ATGCTCCAACTCACAAGGGCCCATTTTCCCAGTCCTCTGGCCAAAGAGACAGTTTCGCTCAGAGACTGCGCTGCCTGAGCCTGCTGCGTAGTGTAACACGGGGGTCACCTTCAGGTCAGGGTGGGAGACCAAGAAAAAAAAAATCTGGGAGATGTACTCAATAGGGATACGTTTTTCTAGTTTTGGCTTTGCTCTCCAATCTGCCTGCTATCTCTTAATTTTTCAGTCTCTAACCTAATTTATGTTTTGTAAATTAGGTTAAGACAATTGCTGGTGGTGTCCTTGCTGATTTTCTGTCTGTGCACCTATCAGTTACTAAGAAAGGAATGATGGAGTCTTTTTTGTATTTTTCCAGTGGCGTTAGTTTAAACCAGGGGAGAGAGAGGCCTTTTGTTTTTCAAAAAGCTTTTAAAAAATTGATTCTTTTTAGCCGTACATTAGGATTAATTTCAACATGATTAAAAAAGCATGGAATATAATTTGCTCTAATCCAGTCTCCAGTCCTTTCCCTTTCCCTCCCTTCCTCCTTCCTACTGTTCCCTTCCTCTGTTCTAAGGATCTTGTGCTTTTTACTTTAAGTTTTTATTGTTAATTTCCTTCCCTTCCCTTCTCCTTCCCTCTCTTCCTTTTGCAGTGCTGGGGATTGAACCCAGAACCTCGCATGGGCTAGGCAAGTCAGTGCTCTATCACTGAGTGACAGCCCCCCGTCCTTTTCAGTTTTTATTTTGACACAGGCTGCCCTTGAACTTGTGATCCTCCTGCATCAGCATCCTGAATAGTTGGGACTGCAGCCACTTTCTATAGTACCTGGCTAATTCATTTCTAATAAATGCTTTTTATCATGTTAACAAAGTTTTCTTTTTACTCTGTACATGCTGAACTTTCTTTTAAAATCAGGAATCAATTTTGGATTTTATCAACTAGGTACTATATAAGTGTATAAAAATTTATATAGTTTTCTGTCTTCAACAATTTAGTCTCCAAGAGGTTAGATAATATGATCATCTTTTCTAGTTTTTTTTTTTTGAATGAAAATTAAAGAACATGATCTTAAAGTCTTCTCGTTTTTGGAATGTATTGAGATGTGTGTCTGAGAAAGAGTGTACATAGATTAGGAAGATTATGGTTATTAATTTCAATGTATATTTAATGGGTATTTGAAATAAAACTTGTATTTTCTATTACACACAAAGTTATCTATTATATCAGGCTTATTAAATGTGTTAGTAACTCCTCCATGTCTGAATTTATTTTGTTTATCTGATCTGTCAAATTCTTTTTTTTTCTTTTTTTTTTTTTGGTACTGGGGATGGAACCCTGGGGCACTCAAGATGAGCTACATCTCCAGCCCTTTTTTGGTATTTTATTTAGAGACAGAGTCTCACTGAGTTGCTTAGGACCTCGCCAAATTGCTGAGGCTGTCTTTGAACTTGCAATTTCCCTGTCTTAGCCTCTTGAGCTGCTGGGATTATAGGTGTGTACCATCGTGCCTGGCTGATCTGTCAGTTTCTTAATTATGTTGCTGGGTCAGTTCACTCTTCATTCAGCTCACTGTTAGAGGTAGAGAAATCAACCATTTAAATTATTTAAAAATATTTAATTGTGTGATTAATTAATTAATTAATTGTGGTACTTGGGATTGAACTCCTGGGTGCTGTACCACTAAGCTACATTCCCAGCCTTTTTTAAAATTCAGAGACAAGAGTCTCACTAAGTTGCCCAGGCTGGCCTCATACTTGTGATCTACTTGCCTCAGTCTCCTGAGTTGCTGGGATTATAGGTGCAGGCTACTGTACTGGGGTTTTTTTTGTTTTTGTTTTTTTAATTTTGTATTCTATTTATTTATTTATTAGTTGTTGATGGACCTTTATTTTATTTGTTTGTATGCAGTGCTGAGAATCGAACCCAGTGCCTCACCCATACTAGGCAAGCACATTACCACTGAGCCACAACTGCAGCTCCTGTGCTGGGTTTTTAATACTTTATCTTATCCATTCTCTTGTCGATGGCTTTTTCTAGTTATTTGCTATTATTCATTTATTTATTTTGTGACACTAGGGGTTGAATTCGGGGCCTTGTACATGCTAGGCAAGCACTTGACCACTAGGTTCTGCCCTCCCCAGCCCTTTTTAAATTTTACTTTGAGACAGGGTCTTGCTAAGTTGCTCAGGCTGGCCTTGAACGTGTGATCCTCTTGCCTTGGCCTCCCTTGAAACTGGAAGTTCAGGTGTGCACCACCATGCAGCCAGTTTTTGCTACCATTAACAGCATAATTCTTACACTAACATTGTAGATAGACTTAAAGGCGTATTTACCATTTTATTTGTGTACCATCCCTTCTTGCATCACAAACTTTTCCTTATGAAATTGTTTTTCTTCTCTCTTGAAACCTGTCTTTTAGGAGTTTATCCTCTAGTGAGAATCTATTGATCAAGCTTTCTATTTTTATTGATTCATAAATGAAGAAAATCTGCCTTAATGATAGATTTGCTGGGAAACTTGTAAGTTGACATTTATCTTTGTTCAGTTCTTGGAAGGTTCAACCTCTTGTCTTCTGCTTTCCATGGTTGCTGTTAGGAAGTTGTTGGCAGTCCGACTGCCATTATTTTGTTGAAGACCATTTTTTTCTTTGTCTTGGTCCCTAGAGCACCCGGGGTGCCATGTTACCAGTAGTGAGGTCTCTTTGTCTTTGTCTCTTATCTCTCCTTCATTTCCCTGTTGCTTTCTCCTATTTCAAAAGGCGATACCATCTTGCAGACATTACACAGCTTGATTTAAAATTTTATTATATTCTTTGTAGAAAATAATTTTCAGGCATGGACTTCTGTTCTGCATGCGATCTTGTCAGATCTAGATGTAGAGAGATCTGCCAGGTAGAGGGAAAAACATGTGTGACGCTACAGAGGAAAGAGGGCATGGGAGGCTGGAAGGGTGATATGAAGGGAAGTCATCAGATCTGGCCTGCAGAGTGACCCTGGGTGTCACACTGGGCATTACAGACTGGAGGGGCAGTCCGGCAGACGAGGTGGTGTTCTGGTTTGGGGCTGTAAGGGGAGCTTGGACAGGGCCAGAGGGATTCAAGTAGAGCTGATGAACTTGGTCTCAGATGTTGTCCTACATTAGGTTCCTACGCCAAAGGGGACAATTTCAGATTTACCTATGTGAAGATGACAAGGAATGAAAGATAATGAAGGAACTAGGAAGAAGGAAGAAAGAGGACGGGGCCAAGAGCCTGTAGCCCTTCCCCTGGAGGTGTGGTGAAACCCAGGGAGAGAGGGCCACCTGGGGGGAACCATGTTGGTGGCTTCTGACTTTGCAGAGAGATACACCATCCCTGGGAGATCCTGGCATCCTTCCCGAAAGGCTACGAGATGATCATGGAGTATCTGCTGCAGAGGCTGATTCCATTGCAGGCAAAGAACGACCAGGAGCCAAGCAACCCATCAAGGATCTCCCCACTGATTGTATGGAGGGGCCGTGCTGGCAGAGGGTCGGGTGCTGGGAACGGAGCTGGCCAGGGTGCTGTGCTCGGCTGTCTCCAGTGTGGGGTTGAGCACTGTAACAGTGGGGTCTTCGAGTTGGGTTGAGGGAGGGGTTTCCCGCTGGCTGCCTTGTTGGGAGATAGAAGAACTGGATTCCTGTTCCCAGGGGTGAATGGGCCGAAGACAAACACCCAGCCCTGCCTTGACTCTCAAGGATGAGGGGAGACAAAACAGCCACCATGGCTGTAAGAGTGCTTTAAAACAATGCCACCTGGAAACACCCTGTGCTCTCCTGGCTCCCGCTAACTTAGTCCTGACCTGCTGTGGGCAGCCAGGCCTTCACTGGGCAAGGCAAAGGTGGTGATGCTCCCATTCTCCTCCTTACCCCAGGCCACCAGGGCCATCTACGAGCTCTTGCAGGAACCCAGTCGGCGGATGGAGCTGCATGGCTTCTTCTCCTCCCTGTTCGTAAGGCTGCTCTTCCAGGTCTCCCTTCTGGTGCTTGAAGGAAGTGCTGAAATGATCCAGGGTCAGCAGCCTGTAATCGAATGTGTGGACCCTGTGAGGTTCGTTGGCCTGTGGGCTCCTGTGTGAGTGGCTTAGCACCCCCCACCCGGCTTCCGGCCTGCAGACAGGACACTGTTCTCTCCCCTCCTGCGGGGCCCTTGGGATGCTGCTCACACAGCATCCCGAGACGTCTTCCTGGACTTTTTCAAAAAGACTCTTTAAGTCTGGCTTACTAGGCTCATGCAGAGATTCTGTACCAAAGTGAAATCAAAACAAGACACCCGGGTCTGCAGACCAGGATGCCCTCCCTACCCCTGGGCAGGCTTCCCGTGTCATCTTGGAGAGGCCACTACCTTCTTGGCCATGGGTTCCTCCTTTGTGAAAGGTTCCACAGGGTAATGTGGATTGTCCCACTGCCAGCAATCCACCATTACTGGGAGGCGGGGAGTCAGGCAGGTGGCTGGGGAGAAAGGAGCACAGTGGGGGTGACTTCCGGCTTGCTCCTGCTCTGCTCTCTCCCCAGTTCTACAGTGGAGGCCCTGAAGACCTTGATGTGCAGTTCTGGGTATGAGGAACACATGGAGTATGTGAACATATTTGGGGGTTGGAATCTGCTTGTGAATCCCGAGAAACACTATGATGGAGTCACCCTGCTGGCCAGGTAAGCCACGCCTGGGGCTCTGACCAGAGGACGACCTTCCACGTTCCTGATCCTCCCTGCAGCCCAGGCCTCCCGCTGATCCCTGTGCTCTGGTCGGCAGGGCCCTGGTGATCAAGAACTGTTGGCACAACCGCCCCATCTTCAGCTTCATCATCAGGATCCTCCAGGACACAAACTGCCCCAACCACGTAACAGCCCTTGTGTTCCTGACAGAGGTGACTGGGGCCGGGAGGAGAAGAGGGCGGGGGAGGTGGTCCCTCTGAAAGGCAATGGATTCCTCCTGGGAAGGCCACTGGCCAGAGGGGGCAGCCTGTTTGACTTTCCCTACCTCCCAGAAGGATTGGGGGATGTTACTAATAATAAACCATTAGGCTGGACACGGTGGCACACACCTGTAATCCCAGCAGCTCCAGAGGCTGAGGCAGGAGGATCGCAAGTTCAAAGCCAGCCTCAGCAACAGTGAGGTGCTAAGCAACTCAGTGAGACACTATCTCTAAATAAAATAAAAATAGGGCCAGGTGTAGTGGTGAAGGCCTGTAATTTTAGTGGCTCTGGAGACTGAGACAGGAGAATTGTGAGTTTAAAGCCAGCCTCAGCAATGGTGAAGCGCTGCTTTGCAGCTCAGTGAGAACCTGTCTCTAAATAAAATACAAAATAGGGCCAGGGATGTGGCTCAGTGGTCGAGTGCCCCTGAGTTCAAACCACCCCCTGATCAAAAAAACAAAACAAACAAAAAAAAAACAAACTTTGTTAGATTTTCTTGAGTTATAGGATTTTATTTCTTCTTGAATCTTAAAGACTCTGCCCTGACTTTATGGAACAACACAGCTCTTTCCTTCAGCCACATGAGCCTTTGAAAATTGATCTTGGCTCAGTACCCCAATTAACTCAATGTTAACTCAAGTTACCTCACAGGAAATCTATATGAAAGGTGGAAAAAGTAAATACAATATTGCAAAATCATTAATCATCACAATGCACAAAGGAAATCACTTTTAGTTTTTTGTCTGTATGAAAGTGTGTGTGAGAGGGTTGAGATTATTGTCTCTTAATATTCTGTGTCCCCCTCTCTTCAGGCCTCTATCTATGTCATTCTGTGTTCTTTGTAAACATAACTTTCAGTGGTGATAGAATATTTTATCATAAAGATGTTCTATAATTGGTTGGACATTCTGTTTCTAATTTTATGTTATTATGAATAACACCGTTATGAGCATCTCTGTGCAAAAGCCTTTGCCCATGTGTCAGATTATTACCTTAAGTATTGACTGTAATAAGTGGAAGTATAGGTTCAAAAAGCATAAATGTCTTCTCTGACTTTTGATACTGACACCAAATTGCCTTCCAGTAAAGTTGTACCAATTTATACTTCCACCAGCAGTGTTTGGGCAAAAGTTTGGGACAGTTTCTGCCTCATCACAGCTTCAAATAGGCTTCTTTTAAAATCTAAGCAAACTAATTTAAAAACAAAACAAAACAAAAAACCAGGAACTGGATTATTTTGAACAATGATAGGAGATAACACAATACTAATGCCAGAACATAAACAGATATTATCCTAACGTGACCTCATGTACCCTTATGTGGGTTACAGGGCATTTGAATCTCGCGGGAAGGTGCTACTGCTGTGTGCTAAGATGTGCATGCTGGTGTGGGTGCTGAGATGTGCGTTGAAGGATGTACGTCATGTTGGCCGAATGCTTGCTCAGGATGCAGGAATGAGGGCATGTAGGAGGCGGGGGTCTGGCTGGAAGAGGATGCCTAGTGCCCTGGGTCTCAGGCGTTAGTGTGTATCACATCGCCTCATCTCATTGAGGAAGCAGTTCAAAATGCAGATTCCTGGGCTCTGTTCCCAGAGACTTGGATTCAATAGGTCTGGGGTAAGACCCAGAAGTCTTCCTTTCCTGAAAGTACCTCAGTTCCTGTTGTAGTACAGGGAGTCCTTGAACCCAGCTTTGAGAAATGGCACCAGGTACAAGCCTGAGAGAGCAGTAGGTATCACAAGGTGACTGCCACTCTGTTAGAACAATAATTCTAAACCCTGGTGGCATATTAGGGTCCTGTCGGGAGCTTTTTTAAAATGCTATTGCCCATGATCCTCCCTTCTTTCCCCACTCTCTGCCTTGTTCTTCTGTTTTAGTTGGTCTAGGATGGGGTCCAGGCATCAGTTTGCTTAGAACCTCCCAAGTCCTGTGTTCTAGAAGTGCAGCTAGGACTGAGAACCACCCTACAGGTTCCCCCAAATGCACAATACCCACATAAACAAGTGGACACAGGAACAGGTGTTCACTCTTCTGTTCCCTGTTTTGGAGCTTCAGGTTGAGGAGGGGAACGGAGGGGACAGTTTGTTTGGGAAAAAGCCCTTTGAGCCTTAAGATGGGTGGACCCCATTCATAGCAATTAAAGAGGTATTTCAAAGTGGAGAACCGTGGGGTTTTAGGTACCGGCTAAGAAAGTGGGTCAAGATCTAGAAGCTCTCAAACATTTCCTAACCCTTTGAAGCTCCCAGCTTGTTGTCTTGGTATCTTCATCCATTTCCCTGGGCTAAGCACAAGCAGAAACATTTCAAAAGGCCCTGTGCTGGAATTCTGGACAATCAAGAAACGGGAGCCCAGCTGTTTTCATTCTCATTGTAACTGTGGAAAAGATGTTATTAACTCTATTTTGTAGAGGATGAAAACTGAGGCCCAGAGAATTTAAGAAACTCACTAATTAGTAAGTAAATTAGGGCAGATCTGCCTGCCTGACAGGTGAAAACCTCTGCAATTTGTCCCTGAAAGCTTCTTTGCCATTAATATAGAAGCACAGACACCCACATAAGCATGCCCCCAGGCGTGCCTGCAAAAGCAAGTGCAGACATCTTCAATGTAGCTGATGAACTTTGGTCTTCTTAATGTTTTTTTAAATAAACTATATGCATGTATAATTTTTTTTTTGTACCAGGGATTGAACTCTGGGGCACTAGGCCACTGAGCCACATCCCCAGCTCTATTTTGTGTTTTATTTAGAGACAGGGTCTCACTGAGTTGCTTAGCTCCTCACTGTTGCTCAGGCTGGCTTTGAACTCATGATCCTCCTGTCTCAGCCTCCTGAGCTGCTGGGATTACAGGCGTGTGCGACCATGCCCGACTATACATGTACAATTTAACACAAATATACAAATGAAACCATACACACTGGTTTCTTTATATATATATATATAAACACACAACACCTTTTTTTCCTTACTTTTGCCTTCTCCCTTCCTACCTAATGAGGCCTATACCCCCTCCTCTTCATCCCCAGGTATCTCACAGGCAACAAATAGGCATCTCTCCCTGTTCAGACACAGACACACACACACACATACACACACAGTGTTGCCAGATGGTTTTTCAAAGTAATGATATGCACTCATGCTAGTAAAGTGTGAGAGAGCCCCCTGATCACTTCCACCAAGGGTTAGCTCTTTTTTTGAGATGGAGTCTTGTTATATAGCTCAGGCTGGCCTTGAGCTGGTGATCCTTCTGCCTCAGCCTCCCGTCTTAGCTCTTCTTACATCCAAATTCACATCTCTCCCAATGGATGTGAAACAATATCTATTTGCTCTAGTTTTCAGTTCTGCGTGGAATTTTGTGACTTGAACTTGCCCTTCTCTGAATTCCTTCCAATCTCTTTTCCCATCAATCATCCTATTGATTATTGTTTGACTTTTTCTTGCTCACATAAACTTTCTGGGTTTGATCCCCAGCAAAACACACACACACACACACACACACACACACACACAAATACACACACACTGGGGAGTGAGGGGGGACTA